CATTATGAATTGCAGATGTGCCCGACGCGGTATCCCCAAGCTACGAACTCAGGGGAGAAAAAAAAAAAACAGACAAAGAAAGACAAAAAGGCAAATCGCGATTGGGCATGCCCCTATGCAATGTCCGCAAAGTCTGGGTGGACCTGACCAACGAACCGTACCCCAACATCGTCTATCACGTCGGAGTACTCGTCCGAGTCTTCCCCATCGTCGTCGACCGGTGTACTGGGCGCGTCCCTTGGAAAACTTAGCTTGCACTGGGAAGGCTCCTGCTCCACGGTGCTGCATGAATTCTCCACTGTCCCCTGCGCCCATCGCTCAAACGGGTTCGCGTCGGCGGTGGCCTCAAATACATACCTCGCATACTCACTACTGTGCAATGGAACAGCATGGTAGTGTGGCTGTAGCGAGGTTGTGCCATCGTCAAGCAATTGTGGATGCAGTGGGCCCGGCGCAGCTGGTGTTGGCGACGACGTCGCGGCTGACGGTGTTGTTAAAACGACAGGGGGTCGGTATCTTTGCACATGCTCATCTAGCAAGCTCCAGGAGAAGTCTCCGAAGAAAGGATGTCCTCTAATCGCCTCCTCGTCAAACCGCCCGGTAACTGGATGGACTCCTAGTCGCTCCAAGGGATTTATGCGACAAAGACGAAAGATAAAGTCCTTGACGCGCTCAAAGGCATCGGACTCAGGCCCGAGGTCCAGACTTGGAAAAGGAACATTGCCGGAGTGAATGCCACACAGCACCTGCTTCATCACCAGATATGGGTTACATCCAGAGAACATGTGGACGCCGTAAAGCATCTCGTACACAATAGTGCCCAAAGCCCAGAGATCACTGCTGTAACTCCACTGACAATGTGCAATCATTTCAGGTGACACGTATTGCGCTGTACCGCAAAAATTGGCGGAGGCTTTTCGCATCGCTTGTATAGCAGACACAGTCAGACGACGCCTTGTTTCACCCTTACTATTCGCTGTTACACCCCCAGGCAGTCCCTCATCGCTGAGAGCGCTGGGGAGGTGCAACATTCCTTCCACATCCGCAGTATCAAAGTCAACCAAACATGCACGATACTTGTGGTCAAATACAACGTTTTCTGGTTTAAGATCGCGAAGGATAACACCCTTTCTGAAGGCGCGTGAAAGACCAATAACGATCTGTGCCGTGATGAGTTGAATATCATGAAAATCTAAACAACAAAGTGAGGTATCTGTCAACGATGACCTCCTTCGCGAAGTAGCATCGGGCGTGTCCTCCGCAGTGAGTGCCCCAAGCGCATGGCGTGAAACACAGGTCCGGATGTGCTCCAGAAGATCCCCATTGGGAAGGTGCTCCATGACTAAGTACAACTCATCTGTTGACTGCGCCGTCCCGAAGAGGCGAACAACAAAAGGATGTGGACCCATCTCTAGAAGAGCACGTTTCTCGTTCATCGCCGAGTTGGTTTTATTCTGCTGAAGGAGTTGAACCTTCGAAACGATCTTTACGGCTACGCTGGTGTAAGGGGGAAAGCTCAGTTTGCTGTGCACCACTTGCGAGATGGCGCCGGAGCCCACCGGCGACGCGTCGGAGAGGTTGAGCTGCTGCGGGTCAAACGTTGGGCAGCGTGGCGGCGGAACACGCGACGTTTCCTTGCTCGCGTTTCCGTTGTCGCCGTTTTCCATCGCCCACGGTGAATGAGGAGGTGCGCTGTGATGCAGGCCGCAGCCGATGACCCTTCCACCACCCCTGCGCCTCTTTGGTGTGCCGCGTTAGCCGCACTTGTGCTTTCCCGCTGGACTTACTTTTCTTTTCCCTCTTCCGTCTTCCGTCTTTTCCAAGGCCCTCATGCGCCCGCCCGAGGAACGGGGAATCAAATCAGCAACTCCGCTGGCCCAGAAGAGGCAAGAAGAAAAAAAAAAAAGAAGGCGGTGGAGGGAAGAAGGTGCGGGAGGAAAAAAGGAAAAATAAAAACCCGTGATGCAGACAGCCCACTTCACACATCCTGCATTCAACGCCCGCGCTCGGCCACACACATAACTGTGTCTCTGGCCCCGGTGCGGGTGGTTTTTCAGCATCCTGCGACACCACGCAAAGCCCAGTAACAACAATACACGCCCATTCTCTCCCTCTCTCCCTCTCCCTCCTTCTCTTTCTCCAGAAGACACACCAGACATCAACTACTAGACGCCAAGCAGCAACTCTTCTTCGTGCGTCAACGGTTCGAGGGCGGTGAGACTCTGCAGCAATTTTTGCTTTTCAATCTCCAGACGCTTGTTGATCGCAACTTCCTTTGTGGAGTAATCTTCCACGTACCGAGCAAGCATGTCACGATTGACGCAAAGAATGTACCTGATAGGAGCGGGCTTGTTCCCCTTCGCAATAAATACCTTGAGAGTGTCAAATGCAAGAAATCGAATGTGTGCAGAGGGGCTGTTTGTCAAGGGAAGCAAAGCGCAAAGTAATGCGGGAGACTCGGCAAACTTTCTTCGGGCCTTCAGAAAGGCGGAATCTTCAAGGACAGCGGCAAGTAGCTCCAAAGCGTGTAGCCTGGCGACAAAGTTTCGACCCAATAGGCAGTCCGTCAGCATTGCTACAAAGTCCTTAAAATAGTGCAGCAGCAAAGAGGCCGAGAGGCCTTTGTTTGTATAGAGGGCCGTCGTCAAGGAACGCCACGTCTCGGTGCAAAAGACAGTTGTGTATGACGCAACACTACGACAGAGAATACCAACGCATGACTCGTGAAATCGACCATGCTTAGGGTCAGGTTGCGCGGACGTCTTTCCTTCCGTTGTGTCACTCAGCAACTCAGCGGGTGATAGAATAATCTCCAAAAGACTGGGCACGCGCGTGAACGTACGGAAAACGTCGGCTGCAGGGACGCAGCGCTCCACCGTCCCGTGGGCAGACGCCAGTTTTCCAATGAAATACTTCAGCTGTCTTAACGCCATGGCAGAGTCCGAGTTATCATCAGCGGTGTCGACGAGGTCAATGTGGCTGGCGCGAGCCTCGCCTCTAGTTGTCTGCCGCAGCTTGCCGTAGATCAGAGCGTCGGCCAACACGTCACCGTGCCCTTTTGACACCACGTCAGCAAACACAAACGCGATTTTTTTCCTGACCTCCAGCCAAGCGTCATTTGTGCGCTCAACGAGGAGTTGCAGTAAATGACAGAGACCCGCTGGCGAGAGAGAGATGGGATCCTCCGTGGGGGAGGCGAGGTCCTGCAGCAGCAGCAGCAGCTCCGCGTCGACGATCGAGGGATCCTCGGTGTTCTGTAGAGCCCGAAGAAACCCCTCGCTGGTGCGCCCGTCTCGCTTCACTCCAGTCATTACTCGCGCCGAGCAGACTCACGGGGCCACCGCTATAAGTCATTGCAAATGCGTGTATACCCACCATGGGAGCGAGAGCGAGGGCGAGAAATGCAGAAGAAGAATCATCTATGAACAAGGCAGCACAATAAGACCAAACGACACCCTCCTCCTCTGGCTTTTTTTTTTCGTTTTCCCACTCACACGCTTAGGATACGTACTTGATGGCACGCCATAATAATACACCGAAGAGGAGGAAGCAGATGGCGGACACCAAAGACAAAGAGAAAGTGTATGTGCGTAGAAAGTCCCTTTTCGCCTCCTCTACTCACCCCCAATTTTCTCTCGCCGAAATTCCCGCGCGGCGGATCCGAAAGCGGCGGCAAAAATGAGCCAGACTCAATCAGAGAGCCGCCAACGTCACATACAACCGACCATCAGCAGAGGCGAAACGGTCAAGAAGATACCCTACCGGGGTGCATAGCGGCGGTTGCAGTCCCTGAACCATGAGACAAAGCCGTCGCTCCTGAAGAGGCGATGCAGGGAGAGTGACGCTGATGCTCCGCGCCTCCCGAGTCGCGTCACCGGCCGCAATAAACTCTTTCACAAGTGAGTCCGCCAACGGAGAAGAAAACACAGCATCCAAGGAAGAATCTCCATCCAGGCCACTGTAAAAAGGAGTAATGGCACGAAGGAAGGGCTCGGCGCACGGTGAAATGGAGCCGTCATCCGCTCCAAGTTTTCGCCATTTGAAATACGGCTCCAAGAGAGCTCGCCAAATGATCATTCCAAAAGGGCTTTCAAGTGATTTTCCCTTCAGCCTCGCGTCAACGCCCACAGCATCGGACGTAGTGCCGGCATCGCAATCGGTGCCGCAGTTGGTATCATTGCTTTCTACACTGGATCTTGGTTTCTCAGACTCCTCGTGACTCGACTTTTCATCGCCGACGCTATATGGTTTAAGAGGAACGCGAAAGAGCGCAAACTGCAAGGTACTTTTACCCAATGGATTGTTAATCATAACAGCTACGTTTTTCGGCGCCCCTGCTAATCGTCTTAGTCCCACAATCCTTTCCTTGTAGGCCCTCAAGGCCTGTACAAAGGGTTTCCCAGTTGACGTACACGTGGCAAAGTTCAGTAAGTCGTTAATAACTTCACTACGAGCATCCATAAGTGCCTTGATGCTGCCGTACATGGCGGAAAAGGTTCCCTTGATCACCTGCTTGAGGAACTCGCCAATTGCCTGATCTGCCGTGCGACGGGAAATGGCATCCTCCTGCCCAGGAACTGGCACCGTCAAAGGCCTTTCCGCGGACACGGAAGTAATGCGCGCCTCCAGAATGAGTGGGGAACCAAACACTGCGGCGTACAACTCAGCTGGGGAGAGCTGCGCGGACTCCGCCCGGCAAGCTCTCAGCTGTGTATCGCTTATTCCCGCAATCAGGAATGCGTTGATGCTATCTTTGATTGCCCCTATGGGGTAATGCCATGGCACCGGCTCGCCTCTCCATGTCAGCCACACGAGCAGTGATGCGTCCGCTCCCACAACCGTGTAGGAGGAAAAGAAGGCTTGGACCTCGCTTCGCACAGCCATTAACACAGAACTTCGCGGGAGCACGTACGTCAATGGCGCCGGCTTTTCCTGCACCGTGCAATCCGTGTCGCTAAGAAATATCATTAGAGGAACTGCCCCCATGTATTCCTCAACTTGAAGGGACATCCCCTGAAATGGCTGCAAACTACAACGCAATGTATGTATATACACAGGAGCACTTATAAGATATGTGCAGTTTTCGTAATCCTGGTTTCGCCTTGTGAGGAGAAATGGACCCGAAAAAAATATATATATATTCAACCACAAGAAGAAAAATGTATGGCCCAAACGACAACAACCACTACATGTTTACACACATATTGCCTTTCCTTTTAATTTTTTTTTTTTGAATGGATGCACTGAAGTCACAAGCACCTACATTCTTCCTCAATCGACGCGGCAGCAAAAGCGTTACACATATAAAGCATATATGAAGTATTCTCACTGCTGTGCCAATTCACGCATGCGACTACCGAAAAAGTGTAGAATTACTATGCATCCAGATATGTAGTATACCTGTACGTATGGTAATGTATTATTATCCACGTACGTGTGACATGAATGTGTGCATATAGTAATGGTAATAATAGTTAATAAGAATATAAAAATACTGGCGCAATTGAAGCCCATCTATCTGTCCTTTATAATTTTTTTTTGCTTTTTTCTTTTGTCCCTCTTTTTTTTTTTGCTTCTTTTCAAATAGGCAGTTTCAGCAACGCGCATTTCCGTTTCATGGGTTTTTGTTTTCTTTATCCACGTCGCTTTGCACTTTTCCTGCACGCCGCGGGCAAACCCTTCTGTTTAGACGTGATCGCTACCTTTCATGCTGCTCTGGTTCACAGTCTTTTTTTTTCTCCCATTCCATCCAGCCCACTATTCATATAAATAAATATATATGTGTGCATTGAAGTATGTGCACCCCATCCTCTCCCTCTTTTCGGCCTCCTTTTCGTTTGGTCCCCTCATCGACCACCGCCGTCGCGGGGACGCATGCCCGCCCATTCACCCGTGCGGCGGAGCCCCGGCCCCCTGGTGGGCCTGCATGCATCCATTGAGGGTCCCCTCTGCAGCGTGAGACGCGGAATTGGAGAGACACGAGAGAATCAAGCAGTAAACGTAAGAAATAACACCGTTGGGAGCTCAAGAAACAAAGCGGTTGATTCCACTCAGCCACTCCTCGTACTCGGCTTGCTCTGCCCAGAAACTGTACGCCTCCATAAACTTGCATACATCCTCCGTTAAACCCCGGTCATTTAAGTAGCTCGTCAAGGCGTCGACAAGGTCCCCGTCCAGTTCGTCCAACGCAGGGCCTTCGTACAAGCGCTCGCGCTTCAGCGACGCCTCTGGCGACTCGTCCAACGCAAGCTTTGAGTCATTCAAAAAGGAGATGTTCCTCATGACGACCCCACCGTCCTCAAACGCCATGTCGCACATCAAGGTCTTACCCTTGGATGTTACAAATGCAAGAAACTCGAAGGCAATGGTTTCCTCGTTCTCCGTGTCATTCCCAAGGAAGCGAATGAGAATCTCTTCGTCCTCGTGCGTCTTACGCATCGTGAAGTACATCTCGCCGGGTTTGCGCTCCAAACTCCAGCCTGCTGGAACCTCTGGTTTTTCAGGCTTTCCAGAGCGCTGCTGTTCGTCGTCCAACTCGCGGCGGGTGGCATCGGCAAGAGCTGCGTACGCCGCAAAGCGTCGCTGCTCCAGCGCCATAAGGGGGCTCATTACCGTAGATGCGGTCACCGAAGGAGCGCAGCGACGGACAAGTGGTGCTTTTTGGAACGCAGCAAGGGCAGCAGAAAAAACGACACGCCGCATCTTGGCCTCGTCTCACTCTTCGCTTATTAATGTTGTTGTTGTTGTTTTTTTCCTTTCCTGTCTTCAATTCTTTTTTTTTTTTGGGGGGAGGGGAAAGAGGCGGCGGTGACAAGAGTACAGAGCAAGTGTGAAGTGAGAACTGGCCTCAAGCGCCTTTGCACGTGCGTCTGTGAAGTCCAGGCGGCGGATGGAAGAAAAAGGGCGAGTTCCAGTAACGAAAAAAAAAAAAACCGTCACTCGAACTTGTTACTTTTCATTCGTTTTCATTCCTTCTCTGACGTCGAAAACACGGAAGAAGAAAATGCACAGCAACCTCACCCTGGTTTTTACAACGACTTAATCGTCAGGCTGCGGCCGCAACGCCGCCTCCTATTATCATCCGCCTCCACTCCACAGGTTTTCTCTCTGCACAAGGAGCTGTCTTTCAACACAACCGCCGTGTTTCTCCTTCGCTGCAAACCTTTTTAACTAACTCCTGCAACGGGGGTAGTTCCACGGTGTCTAGCCACTGTAGAGAGTACGGTTGCTCGCGGTTGTCCTCGGCCGCTGCGCAAAGTCGCCACGGGGGCTCGTGGTGTATTTTTCCCGTTGCTCGATGTTCCTCCCAGCACCTCTCCGCCTCGGCGAAGGGCGATGAGTTCGCACCACCCACCTCCTTACGCCATGCAACTTCCTCCGTGATGATAAAGAAAGGGCCACTCACCGCCTTCTTCTCGAAGGGAGAAACAGGAGGCACAACCTCCCGCGCGGACAGCGGTGCTGAGGCAGGCCGCTGTGGTCGTCGCTTCTCAGTTTCTTCGATTCCACGTTTGGGGCTGGAAAGCCGCCGGCGCACACCTCGCCTATCCTCGACAGCGTCTTCCTTGGCATCTGTGGAGGACCCCATCTATGTGAGTCTGTGTGTGTGTGATGCGTACTACCTGGAAAAGGGGGATGGTTCAGTAACGTTTGGAGGTCTTGCTTCTGCGGTTAGTTGGCGTTGCCTCCCATTGTCTCCCTAAATTTCCTGCCAACATGTCACATTGCACCACATTTATTTACTCTTTTGCTCTTCCACAGCGGTTTTTCTTTTTCTTTTACATCATCTTCGCCGACACTCACACACCTTCACGCCTTGCTCATGGCTCATCTCATTTCACCCAGAAAAAGCATAATCCCGCACCACGCTCGTCAATGGACGATACACATGGAGCCCGTTCATAGTGTCCGTTGGGGCCATCAGCCATTGACCCTCACTTCCGCTGCTCCATCTTGCATCGGTGACGCGTCCCAAGTGCCCAATATGCACAAAGACCAATTCACGCGGAGCAAGTTCATCCTCACTGTCTGGGAACGGCAGAAATCGTTCCGCCACATCCCAACTCACCACTAGCCCATCCTCGCTAAAGGTGCTCAGTACTGTCTCACTAAAGGGGGCCCACTGAAGGCCCGTGATACTCCTAGTATGATAACGCAACGATAGAAGCTCCGTCCTTTTGGACTGTCGAATGTCCCACAGGCGTAGCACACCGTCGACACCGGCATTGGCAACCTGGAAGGCGCCAGTGGGAGGCAGCTGGGCAGCGGTAACACCACCCGCGTGAGCGCAGGGCCATGAACAGCCAGATTTTTTCTCTCTCGTGTCCCACAGCTGCATTGCCCCATCCATGCCCGCCGAGAGCAGGATATAGCCCTGGGAGCCATGCCAAGAGACATCCGTCACGACGTCTGTACGTGTCCCCACTCGACGAAGCGGTTGTATATCCCGTTTGGTATCGTTCTCTTTCCCAGCGGCAGTGGCAGAGAGTCGCTCATGCATGTCCCAGCAAATCACAAATCCATCACTTGCGCCACTCGCCAAATAACCTTTTTTGACGGCATTCCAGCTCAGGGCGAAGCCACCTGCCTTGTGTCCAGAAAGCAAAGCATAAGGCACAAGGGCATCATCGCCCTCCTCTCTGCCACAGTGCAGAAGATTGCACACGCCAACAAACCCTGAGGCTGTTTGCACAGCAATGATTTCCGCGTCCTGCGGCATGGCTCGTATTTTCAACTCCACGTCCGCTACAGGGAGTGCTTGGCCCACGACACAGTTATCCCGTACACTCTGTGCCCGTGGAGCGGCATTTGTCCCCAGTGGCCGCGCTCCCCCCGCCACTGGCACTGCTCTCCGCAGATGAGTCCGCTGCCTCCACCTCGTCGGACTCATTGGTCACCGCCACACCAATGACACGCACATAATATTGACGGCCACAAAATGTCTGGGCACCAAGCGCAAGATACTGCGGCGCGTAATCCTGCTCCCCAGCCTCCGTTCTACGCCACGTAATCCAGTCGACGCTCAGGCTTGGCCACTCCATCACGTGCGTACTGCAGTAGGAGTACAGCTTCCGCAAGTTTTGCTCCCACGTCTGCTGCAGTCTCGTAAGTTGAATAAACTCCGTCGAGAGGAACTGCGTCGAGGTCACGCTCTCCTGCTCTCCTCTATGCGAGCCGAGCACGTCCGCCTCACGCTCGGCCTCACGACGCCCCCTTGAACTAACGATGGATGCTGTGCCGGCCACTTGGCTCGGCCTCCTCCCTGCCGCATCCGCGGCATCCTCAGACGGAGTAACACGTGGCAGGGGGGAGGAGGAGGAGGAGGTGCGCCCTCAGTTCCAATTGCCAGTCACTTCCCCGCCGCCGGTAACAGTTTCAGCACTACGAGGAAGACGCAGTTGGGCGCGCAAGCAAAATAAGCAAATAGAAGGGCACGGGGAAAGGAGAACAATTGGTCCACGGGGAACGATAAGAAGTGAGAGCAAATCTAACCAGTAAGAGCTGGAGGGAAGCAACGCAACAGCAACAATATATATATATATATAAAGCGCGAACAAAAGTAAAGAAGGTCGGGGGTAATTCCTTACACGCAACAACAAGCTCCTCACGCTTCACCACCGGTCAAACAGCATGGCAGAGCAGGGGCGGCAGAAAGCATCCACGCATCACCCACGTGTGGCCTTCGTAGTGGCGGAGGCGGCGCGTGGCAGGAGATCCGTACGCCCACGCGCTGCAGTTGTGCCATGTCCTGTAGCCGCCCCTCCTCCGCCGCCGCCTGCTCCTCTTCCCCCTTTGGCTGCTGCTGCTGCTGCTGCTCGTAGACCTGACGCGGTCCTCGACTTCGTCGTGGCAGGCTGTGCAAACTCCGTTGTGCTTCTTAGGCGCACACCAGCGGAGAGGAAGCGATTAAAATCAAGCCGCGCCCACAGGGCCCGCTCCGTGGCACGTGTTGCAGAACCCGAAAGATGCCCAGTAAAAGCTGCCACTACATCCTGCTGCACTCGCGTCTCTAACGCGGCGAGCGCCGCAGAGACCTCAAGTGAAATCTGCGCCCCGTCCACCGCCCACGATGTCAAGCGATAGCGCGTACAGAGGACATAGAGGGCGATGGAGCACTGGAAAAGGGACTCACACGCCACCAAAAGTGGGCCCGAACCCTCTGTGATGAAAGAGCCTTCTGCAACGTGCCACACGCACCGGTCCAGACATTTTTTCGCCTCCTGTACACTTTTGCACTTTTCCAGTGACTTTTCCAGCTCCGTGGTTTGCAACAGAATGACATCCACTTGCAGGTGGGAGCCTAATGTGGTGTGAAGGAATAAGAGCAGTTGCATCACAGCAAAGGTGCGACGGAGCTCAGCTGAGGGTTGCCTGTTCGTCACAGAAGCCTCCGAGAAGACGTGTCTAACGGCATGAAGCGCATGCAGTGAAAATCGTCTGGCAATATGGAATGAAAAAATCCTTTGGTAGTACTCCAATGCCTTGGGCGACAAAACCAAGTGAAGACCACGAGGCACGACGTAGTGAAGCCCAAGGCCTCGCATGTAGCAAAGAATGGTCCGCGCCGTTTCCTCGATAGAACGCAACTTGCTCTCACCAATTTCAAGTGGAAGCAGAATAAACATGTCAAATCGTTCATAAACGGGTGTCTCGGCTAAACCAGTGACGCTCAAAGCATGCAGAAAGGCGTCCGCCACAACGCGGCCAATGGCGGCCTCCTTCACGATGGTCTTGTGCACGGCACTGTCTACGAGGCTGGGAAAAACAGCCTCCACAAAGGCATGCCAGAGATCCCCTCGATGGCACAAAAACATTGCACGTAGAGCAATAAGATGTTCGTGTAAGGCTGCTTGTTCACCTACTTTTAACCAAAGTGTCTTTGACCACAAAGCCCGAGCTGCCTCAATGCGTGTCTCTAACTCGTCCACCACTAAAAACCCACCATTGCAAAGCGAGGGATTATAAATTGCATTGAAAACGGCATTTGCCATCTCATCCTGCGTCCCCAGCGCTAGCTGCTCAAGATACTCCCTGCCGTGACTCTCAGCTTCACCGAGCACTATACGTCGCTCTTTGCCAACGGAAAGAATCAGCATGCCAAGCTCCATAGAAACTCCATGCGGGAGAAGGTCACTGTGCAAGGTGTGTTCTTCTTTTCCGCCTTTGGACCTTACAGAGATAAAAAAGTCCTTACGACCGTGCAATACGACGCCATGAGCAATGTAGTGCGCAATGGTGTAGAGAAGACCCATCCACACTGACTCTCCAAGACAGACTCTAAACTCCTGTGGAATCTCACGATTCAAGACAAACGCATGGATAGTAGAAAGAACAGCATCTGTATTCCTCTGCTGATCCACCATCTCTGTCAAGAGTGTAAAAGCAGGGAAGTACACGGGGCGAAGTGCGGCCACGGCAGCTGCTGTGGTTGCATTCTGGACAGCACTCTCATAGTGCTCCAATATTCTTGTGATGGCAGCTCCAATAGCGGAGGGATACAAGCCTTCGGTACGGCCCACTGCAATATCCGTCGCCACACCGCGCAAGGCATGACACATTGCCCCAAGCGGTAGAGCGTCTTCAATCAACGCACGCTCCGATGGGTGCAACTGCGATAATACGGCGGACGACGCCCTCCCGCTATTGTCTCCACCAGTCCGCCGTGCCGCCCATATTGCAAGGGGGAAGGATGTGGACGCAAACCCAAGAAGGCCACATTGCAACTCTTCCATTCTTTTTGTCACCGACGCTGCTCTTTCGCCGTCCTCCCCCGCACGGCCACGCAAAAAAGCGGCAAACTGCAACTTCTCCCAAACGGGTTTCAAATATATTTGACGCGTTCACGTCTGTTTTGTTATTGTTGTGGTTACGCATACCCGTGTGTGACACGCACACGGGAGTGCCAAGAACGGTCAGTGGGAAAGAAAAGGCGAATCATTGCGCCCGTTGCTGTCAGAAAGGGTCAATCAACCAAGCAAGCAAGGAAAGAAGCAAATAAGAAAAAAAAACTTGTGGTCATATACACAAATACATATAAATAATAAACATATTCATGCCGTCAACCACCCCACGCCCAGTTTCCCTTTTTTCCAATGCATATACAAAATATTTTCATTCCACCCAATCCCGAACTCTCCTCCTCCCTTCCCCGTCATCGCCCTAACCCACCCACCGTTCGACTCCACCGCCGCCCGTACCTTCCCCCCTTCCATCCCCTCCTACCGTCTTATTGGTCGTCCTCGTCAAGGTCATCGACATTCATTTCCTCACTGTACTCTACCTGGAAAGCGAAGCGGAAGACGCGCGTAAACGCGCCGGATGGGAGTTGCAACTGCCACTCCACGACGCCTTCGGTATCCATACTGCAGTCATAGCCCTCCGCCGTCTTTCCGTCCGCCAGCATCCTCTTGCTTGGCTCACTCAGCTTCACCCTGATGTCATCGTGCGAGGAGATGGGGCACTGGTCCTTCACCACCAGCGGCGCCTCTGCCGTCAGTGAACCTTTCACCGTAAATTCATATACATACTCAATAAGTGTTTGTGGGTTACGCAGCATAGTGCGGACAGTAGACCGCATTCGCTTCACTCGTTTTCGTGTCACGCTGACAGAATCATCTGTACCAAGCGACGTCGTAAATTCCGCACCGACAGGAACAAGCTCCAACCGTGAGTTGCTTACAAAAGTGTTGTTGGCAAAAACGTTTGCCTTTCCGGGAAGGAATAAGTAAGGGCTTGTATTCCTCGCGTTAACAACAAGGTACGTCCACGGTGCTCTTTTCGGCACTGCATGGTACACAAGTTTCACCGGAAATGTGTGTGTGGCAATGGTAACCTTTACCGGTTTGTTGTCGCTTCGCACAGTGGCCAGGCCGACAATTTGAAACGTACTCGATGTAGATGAGCAGGAAACAACCGCCTGCTCCACCTGGGCAGCTTGCGGCGTTGGCGAATCCACCTCATTACTCATCGCCCCCACACTTCGAAGACATGTTTTAGCTCTAAGAGCTCGTTTAAAGGCCCTTGGGGGCGCTGGCGGCCGCAAACTGATATTCCACGCCCCAGGCTCGGGCGGAGCTGAACTAAAGTGTGGGGTGGCTGTGCTAAGCTTCATTTGCACTTTGTTCCAATCCATTGAGGTGCTCTGAGACACCTGGGCGTGGTATGTAACGTCCATTGCTGACTGTCCCTGATCCACGCGTATGTCGTACAACGGGGTCCACGAAGCGCCCATGGCGACAAAACTAACAAAAAGTTTTAAATTCACATCCCGTTCATGGACAGAAATAATGGCCTCCACTGACACTTCCCGCCGTTCATTGTGCCCGCCACCTTTTAGATCGAGCAGCTTTTTCTCTATTTCCTGTTGCTTCTTCTCAAGCTCGCTCGCCTCCCCTGAGAGCGTCAGACGAGACTCGCCCAACTGCAACTTACGGCGAGCGATAAAACGGGTCAATCTCGTCCACGAGGCCGGCTTTGAAAGAAACTGAGCCATGTGGTCCACACTTACACGCGCGTCTGGCCCCTGGCCGCGCTCCCCCATGGCGTTGAGTTTCTCCTCCACCTGCTTCAGTGCGTTTTCAATCGCGTCGTTAACGGCCTTTTTGTCTGCAATAACGTCAAGGCGTTCCTGAACCGCATCTCGTGCCTTTTCGAGCTCTCGCACTCGCTCCCGCACATCCTCCTTGTTGATGTGCCTCTTGAAACAAACCCCTCGCATCACCACCGGCTGGTTCGCCGCGTCCTCCAGGCGAATCTGGAGGGTGTTCTCCAAGACGCTCTCCCAACCCCTTTCTCCCTTCAAGGAGAGGACGTGCGTCCCGACCGCAAGCGCAGCGTTGGCGACGTAAGTCAGTTGCGCCTGGTCCCTGAAAACCGTCACCGACTTCAGCGTAGGCGATATCTCAATACATGTTGGCTCGTGCTGCGGCTGCAGCGCAGTTGCCGTCATTGTCTTTTTACCCCCTCCCTTCTTTTCGTTTAGGTTGTCGATGGTGTTTGTATACGCAAAATCAAATGGGCAAATACAGGAATATATATATATATATATTTGCTTTCTTTTTTGTTCCGGAACTGTCTCCTTGAGACAATAATTGCAAAAAAAAAACGGGAAAAAAAAGCGGGCAGTATATAGACGCAGAGATAGACAAGGAAACACGCGTAGAAATGTTAACTATATCCCCACCTGAGACTTAGTTCACCCTCCTCTATAGAGTGAATGTGCGCATGGAGCTGTCTCAGCAAGAGAGCAAATTGCCCCACTGAGCACAACAACAACCATCAGTATCCTTCTCCCTCTCACCCTCCTCTCTCCCCACCCATCCCAAACCTTCCGCCACTTCAACTCCCTCACATCTCACCGAACTGTTCCTGGTGAAACTTGTCCCGCTTGCTTTGGCCGTCCTTGAGGATACGCCCATCAAAGAGTTTGGTTGCCACCTTAAACGCCAAGCACCCAGCAGGGTCACCGATTTCCTTGAACATTAACGTCACCTCATGATCCATCATGTAGGTGTAGGTCAGGTTTTCCATGGTCTTGAGTGTAAGGTGAACCGCCGCCTCCCAATCCAGCCTATGAATGAGGCACCGCAACAGCAACAGATACATTTCTGAGTCACGCAAGTACCACTGGTCGGTTCCAACGACCGAGGGATTCATGAGAACACGCCACACGTCCTGAAACACGTCGTGAGTAACGCATTCATCGTCCATAGGGCTTATCTGCAGCATTACCTGTGGATAAGGGTTGTACACCTCCGGATCCCACAGGTGCCGGGGCACAGGGTCCACTGGGCAGCCCACATGCGGAAGTGAGGAGCGCACCCGCAGCGATGCGATGGTTGGGGCTCGCTTCCAGTTGAACAGGGCTGCCGTGTCATTCATGTCTCGCTCTATCATCGCGGGGCTACGCAGCTCCGGCATTTTGTTGTCGTTGTAGAACAAGTGCTTCATGGAATCACGCGCCTGTTTTGCCGAACCAAAGAGGGCAAGTGAGGCATCGCGCGCGTCAAGGTATCTGCCCCACTTACGCCGCTCCTCCAAACCGATCGGTGTCAACTTACAGTTCTTCTTTGGGTGACGGGCGCAAAGCTCGACAAAGCGTCGAAATAGCAGCTTTGTAGGAAGTCGTGTTCGGTGGTAGGACAAGTCAACGCTCTGCGACGCCTGTCGTAGTGCCTCTTCTGCTTCCTCATTGCTGCGTACAAAGAGAATCGCGAAGCTTTCGGCCGCCACGACGTCGTTCTCCGAGACATCAGAGGTCGCATTATGTGCCAAATGGGCATAATCCGCTCGTGCCCCCTGCAGGGTTCGCATGCTGACGCGGCTGAGAACACTGCCAATGTCCATCAGGTAGTGGTGATGCACACATTGCCCCCGCGACGCCAGTGCCGCACGTCCCCCGTCAGCGTCGACAGAACGCTCCCGGCGGCGTATCTCACAGGCAACGTACCGTAACGTTTCCACAGCCGCAGTATCATTCCGAAGGGTGCTGTACAGCAATGCAAGCGCATGGTAACAACTCAACACGTCCCCGTTAAAATTTCCGCTTACGGCGGCATATGTCATATCAGCTACAATATATTCCACCATGGATGCGATACCAGCGGTTCGCGTATTGATGACGCAGTTCGGTATGGGTTCCTCAAGGTTCACGCCTGCTCGTACAAGCGAATCTCGCATCGCATCAACGAGAGTGCTTAGCGGACTTGAGGCTGGTGATAACTCCCCACGATCCTCCAATCGCTTAAAAACGGCCTCTGGGCTCACACTGCCTCGGGGAAACTGGCTGAAAACACCCAAGGTGCTTCTTATCCGAGGAAACTCCTCTGGACGCGAAAGCAAAGTAGCCAAGACATGCACGTAGTCCCAATCACACAGCTGAGCCCCCAAGGCGCGTATCCAAAGCACCACAAGCAAAACCACCGTGGATGGATACCCACCCATGTTGGCTACGTGGTGTAGCAATGAGGTTAACAAAGGGCAACCGGTGTCAGAGCGCAGTGTTTCAAATGATGTTTGCGTGACAGCGATCATACGCATCATCCGGGCGAGTGCATCTACGGGGCTCAAGCAGTGCAGGGCGTCAATTACAAGAGCGTAAGTCTCCATGTTCGCCTCCCCACGTTCTATAATAACTTGCAGAAGCTGTTCAATATTTTCTTTGTCCCGTGTGTAATTAAAAACACGAAAGAGGGAGTGGTAGTGCAAGGAATTCAGTGGTTCATCTAGCGTCTCTCGAATGTACTGCACCATAAAACTGAGATCCTCTGCATTGTGGTTCCGTGTGTACGTCTTGACTAATTCGTTTGCTTCGGGCAACCTGATAGGGGCAGCGTTGGCGCTTCCATTCTCGCCATTGGGTGTGCGGAGGTGCGTGATGCGGGCACGAGCCGCCCTGTGCAGCTCCTCCCTATGAAATGACTGCCACCAGTCAGGAACAACGTGTGCGTTAAGGACAAAAGAACCCAAAGCGCGTCGTGAGGTGTGAAGCATCGCCCCCACAGATGTGAACTGGGTGTCGCAGCCAGAGGAAAATGTGGGGCAGAGGAGAAGCAGCAGCAAATGAGCGGCAAAAAAAAAAAGAAACTGATTGCAGGTTGCGCGGTAACTGCACCACGAAGGAGGTCCAGCTCCCGTCTTCCGGGGGCCGGCGGAGAGGCAAAGAGGGGAAAAAAAGGGGTGCGGCGGGCTCAAAACTACCTGAAGTAAACCGAAAAAAAAAAGGAAAAACGAAATTAGGAAAAACATAGTATAAAAACTACGTCTGCACACCTGCAAAGTACGGCAGGAGGGGTGAAAGAAGAAGCGCAGCCACAAACACACAGAACCACAGAAACGCCGATGCTGGAGGGGATTAAAGCGGAGCATGAAGGGTATTGGCAATAAAGCCAGGCAAATAGAAGCTAATAAAAAAAAGGACCGCTTTAATGCTATCATACTTCATAAATATAGGGGCGCGAGAACTAAAACAGCAAACCAGAACGGAAAAGTAAAAACTACATGAAAAAGTTCTACGCAACATCAGCGGCAGAAATAGTAGTAGTAAAGAAAGGGGGCAAAACTGTAGAGCACATGTCCCAATGCACATCCCAACTCCATTTCCTGTGCATATATATATATATATATATATATTTGCACAGGCCAGATCTGGCAAAAACAAACTAGCTGAGCCCAAAGTCTTCTGTTTCTTCGACTGCGGCCTTTATTTTTCGTCGCGCGGTTTCAAAGTCGTGGTATGGTGGAAGCTTTAGCGTAGAGAAACACGTCGATGCGGACGGCAGCCGTTCCTCAGACGTGCCCCACACGACATGTACTTTGAAGGGGGGACTGAGGAACTGGAAGCCAAGCAGCGGGGGCCGAGGCATGGATGTGGCAAACTTCAGCAACTTTTTTCGCTCCTCCATCGACATGGACTCCACCACCTGCCAGAAGTATTGCACAGGGGCACTCTTTTCATCATCTGCGTGATGGTATTCTGTGTGCCGTCTCCAGTCCGCGACATCGATGACCCCCTCAGCGTCCCCGCCAAAGAGCTTCATGAGTTCCTTGCTATCAAACAGCTTCAACCAACTGAGATTCACGATCATTCCCAGGCCTTCCAGAAAAGCTTTGGTTTGACGGGCCGACTCGTGGTTCAACTTGAAGCTTGCCATAAGATGAATATAATTCAAGCAATTGCGGTGTGTGACTGGAATGTCTCTTCCACCACGCAGCAGCTCCACCTCACGCACCTCTCCCAATATATCTACCGTGTACGTAAAGGTCAGTGACAAGCTTTCAATTTCCTCCTCGCTTAGAGAGCGCAAAGAGATAATATGACGGTACAGCTGCTTGTCAAAACTCTTTAAGTTGTTGATCGAGTTACTACGGCCAAGAATAGAGTTGCGGAAGTGGGGCGCAAAAGGGATATCCAGCAAGACCCCATCCCGCAGTGATCGACCCACTATGGCACCAAGAAATGTGAAGCGACGCAGGTGCTGTGCGTCTCCTGTCATCTCATAACTAAACGGGTTGGGGTAAACGTCACCGTCTTCGGTTTGACGAAACATACCGTACTCGGCGGCAAATGCCTCGGTACACAGACTCACAAGGAACTCCCGGTACACTCCCTCACCGTGGCCTTCCTCAATGCCGTTGGTTGCGTCTCGAAAACGAACGCTAACCATTTCAGGGCTGTCTGGAGCGTTGGCGAAGCGGTCAAATGCGTCCATAAAGACGTGACCACGACGCACAATAAAGTTTTCCCCAGAGCCAAAAAACGCACGCCGCCCTTGGTCAAGGAGAAAGCCGGAGAACACCGTGGCACGCGCAGGAAACGGGATAGTGAAGGGGGCATTTTGAAGAAGTCGAAGTACCCGTTCAGGCTGGGGCCACGTCGTGCTCTCTACCCACTGAGGATGGCAAATAGAGGCACATTTTGGCTTTGCAGCATCCACCGCAGCCTCATTGGACGTGGAAAACTCCAATGCCGACTCAATGCTCGACCACGTTCCTCTAGTGACGGAGGCAACTGCGCCAAGAATCACCGAATCCGTCGAAGTAACCCAGACAAAGGGATGTGGAACAAACGATTGTACTTCATCTATAACATGTAGTTTGACCAACAACTTGAGCGCCGTCTGTGCAACAGCCTCACTGTTACAGTGAGGGAGAATGCCATGCATGTACGACCGATGTATAATCCCTTTTAACACCAGTATAAGTATTACGGCGTCGTTACGATCCATGACTGTGCAACGTTCAAGCCCTTCCATAAAATCGGTGGCGTCCACAAAATAGCTTAGCAAGGTGAAAAACAATACCGACACCGCAGGATACGGGTCCCAAAAAAAAGAACGTCCCGATGTTGCAACTGTCAGCATGCTAAGAAGCTCTACTGGAGGCTCGCCAATAAAGGGAAGATGAACCACCTCACCTGCCCTCACTCGATTCAACAGAAGCTCCTTCTTCGTCCCATCTAGTGCACCAAATATACTGGCATTACAGTTTTGGTAGATACGCCACAAGCACCGCAAAATCTCCGGTGAATTCACCAATTTTGAAACAATTGTGGTTACCTCAATACTTTGTTCCTTAGACCCCAGCGAAAAGTTGTAAACTGGCCACACAATGATGCTGCATAGAAGATCAAAATCCGACAAGGCGTTGGAGTGAAGCGGAGATGATGGGTCTCCGTCGAGAGTAAAGTCATTGAGCGCAGCAACTCTGACAGCAGTCTCCTTTAACAGACGTAACCCACAGTCTGCCGTAAACAAGTATGTCGGCAAGTGCACGTACCTACTCGCATGTGTGGAGCCCTCAATGTGTGGATGAAGGAGGTCTACCAGCGTCATTTTCAGCAGTTCATCGCCTCTGCTTGCCTGAAGGGTGAGTTGTAAGAGACACCTCAGCCAATTTCTGTGTAATTCACCTTCCTGAGCACCTTCGGTCTCTAGGAAAAAAGGTATCAGACGCACAAATTTACCGAGTGCCGTTGTTGAAGGAAAACGAATGATGGTTGGTAGCTTTTTCTTCGCAAAGTTTACGACTGCCTCAACCAATGCCGCATTTCCCTCCTCCCTCACGGCACATGCTTCATCGTGTGAAGATGCCAAGAGGACATCCAGTGCACATGAGGTGGGGAAAAGGCATGCCTCAACGCGGGGTGAAGAAGTGAGAGACTCCAGCAGCATCTCCTTGCCTTCTGGGGTTTCCAAGGCCACGGCAATTTCGCCGGCGGAGAGTGACGCATACAGTTGGTGAATTCGCGATACAACGGCCTCGTTTCCTACCTTGCCGTGCCGAATAAGAAGCTGTAGCGTCGGCACTAACAGCTTCCCCTTCTCATTCAATAGGATGGCCATTTTAAAAAGGGCATCTAGCACAAGCAAATGCTCCTCTTTCCAGCAAGTTTCACTCAATTCCTCGTCAACGGGCGGGCTGGCGTACTCTGCCAACGTCAAGCGAACCAGCAAGCCAAGCTCATGCCGGCAGCCATACAACTCCTCCATAAGAGTGCCTGCATGAATGCAACGGCATAACTGCTGCAAAATAACCCGTGTGCACATCCTCTGGCAAGAATACTGGTCAACCCCACGACGTTGACCACGGCAGACGAACTTGAAGTCTAAACAGAGGTGCTCCAAAGACCTTCCAAGCGTTCCCTGTGATCCCTCATGAATGGACTGAAACAATTGCATTGCAAGATCAGCAAGTGACATTCGGCTCAACCACAGTCGAGCCTTACGCTGTATACACAACGCTGCTTGCTGCTGCACCCTATTTTTCTCGCGTCGCTCACGCTTCTTCCTGGCCTCAGCCAAAATCGCATTCGCGGAAGGTTGGTGGTCGCGGGAAAACGAGAGGTGCGTCGGGCGGCTCCTGCCATTAAAAACGTAGATGCTATTCATTTCCATCCCGCTACTCTCAGTAACCTTGTGGATGTGGGAAAAAGAAGGGGGAAAGGGGAAAATCAATATAAAGCTGAAGAAACAAGTGCCATCAAGTGTGATTTATACATACAAACATATATATATATATAATAACAACAATCATCACAGTGACGAGTTTGAGGAGTCCCCAACCAAAAACCATCCATCTTTCTCCTTTACTCTTCTCCGCCAGCTCACCCTAGCAGGATCCATGCAGGAAGAAGAAGATGTTTAAGAAAAACAGTAAAAAAAAAAGGAGCTAAAAAAAAACAACAATAAAACAAAGTCATTCCTCTCCGCCTCCGAGAATGGGAAGAAAAGCTGGTAGGTCACTGGCCAACAAGAAGACAGCATGTTTGTAAAGAGCTTTGCACAACCCCAGGAGGTGAGGTCATGGACGCAATGTTTCTCGCCCCCTCGTTATCAACGACGCCGCAAGGCCCGCAATTTCATTTCATCCACCCACTCCGAAAACTGGTGCGGGCCACTTCGAGGCCCATAAAGCAACGCAAATATATCCTTTGCTTCTTCCAAGTCCAATGCACTCGGCGCATGGGGTAATTTTTCAATGAGGTCAATTCTTTCTAAAAGGCTAAGACGCTGCTCCGGAGTAAGTTCAAGTTTGCAATTCTGACCACTCTTCTTTGAAGTAGAAGGAGAACGTGCCAGAAAACTACCAGCAATATCTGAGTTATGATGCCTGCATTTGAGAAATTGCTCTTGAGTGAATGTCCCGTTAGTACCTGCCTGATCCTGCCGCTCTGGCAGTCGCCTCCCAACCCTTCCTAATTCGGAGGCGGACTCATTGCCATGTAAAGATCTTGAATACAGTGAGGACACGTTGCCCAAACCGTGCGAAAAATGCTCTGAGGAGACCTGACCCAATGAAAGAGGTTGATAAACAGGAGGTGAACATTCACGATCTTGTCGACATGGAATTTTTTGTTTTTGGTGTTTTTTGCGCCCATTCTTCTGAGAAGAAGCTGAATGGACAGGTTTCTCACCTGGGAGCATCGTTAACGACTGCAGGCACCTTTGCCCTCGAAGTAGAGAGCAGTGAGTGGATTCTGAGCAAAACGTTGGAGGCTCCGACAGGGCGACGTTGCTTTGTCGACCCACAGAGGATGATTCGTAGGACGAAGCCCTCACCTTGGACGCGGGCCTGCGGAAAGAGCCGTCATGATTGGTGCTGTGCGACTTAGCTCGCGTCGACCTGACCTCGGAGGATCGATCAGTAACGGCCCACTGGGCCGAGGTGGAGACGGGAGAAGAATGGAAAGTACTAAAGGAAAGCAATCTCGCAATACGGGACCGAATGACATCCACTGCCTTTTGGGCACTTAGCAACAAGCCACATAATCTCTGCGCATATCTCCCCCACTTGGAGACGGCCGCTGGTCCTTGGAGGTAGGGTTCCAGTATCCTTCTTGTGTCATGAATTTGATCTAGGCACATCGCCAATCTTTGGGATGCTCGCTCCAAGAAGTTTACATCACCGAGAGAAAGGTCACGCACACTGCCACCAAGTCCTGCCACCCGCTTTCCCCAGACGGGCAAGGTGTTGTGATGAAAATCCACCAAAGCCATGACCGTGTCCTTCAACTGGGAGCACGTTGGGTCAAACTGCTTTGTCACCTCCTTCGGCTTCCGCCGGGGCTCAGAGTTCCGCCCGAACGCCATCGGCGGTGCTCCGGAGGGAGACCCAGAGGCGGAGGCAATTGGTGAACTGCAGACAGAACTTCGACCTTTCTTTGGATGCGACGGACGGCGAGAAGCAGTCGGAGACGCCTCGCCTTCTCCGCCGACGCCCCACGAGTCGCACATCTCGCGTCTGCGCGAAAAGACTGACATCACGCCCTCACACACACAAGACGAATAAGAAAAAAGTAACCAAAGCCCGGCAAACTACGGCGCAGGGTCCCAGTTGGGCTCGTATCCCCCGCGGCGCCTCCGAAACAAAAAGGAAATGACGCTACAACGAATGACACGGTACCTCCCTCCCCGGCGCCGCCTTGGATCGGCCCGTGTACCCGAAGGAATAAAAGACAACGAATGAAAAGGGCAACTTGTGTAATTTCTATTCGCTTTTTCCCTGCATCTAGCCCTTGGCGGTGTGTGTGAAGGGAGAAAAGAAACCAAAAGCAGGAAAAAAATCCAAGATGCAAGCCAAGAATGGGGTGAAGGGCCTCCCCCTTGAGTATACGGCGAGCACATAAAGCCAGACCACACCCACACAAACTCTCTCGCCGGTTTTACCATAAATTTCATAATGACAGCCTGCAAGCTACATCTTCATTCTATTTCTTTTTTTTCTTTTTACCCCTCATTGCCCCATTATGTATTCTTTTGGGCCATTCTTTTAGCCACTTCCTTCGCTCATCCCTTTTTCTCTGCGTAGCCCCTCGTTTGTTCCAACCACCGGCAAGGAAAAGATTATGGTTAACTTGAGGGATGCACGCATTCTCCCCGCGGAGGCGCACTCTCTCTCTCGCTCTCTCGCTCTCCATTTCTTCCTCAGTGGCGAGGCGTTATTCATCACGGCACTCCTCCTG